ATCAATAAGCAAGCACAAAGAAATCGTAACAGTTTACAGCAGTTAGTTAAAAACAATATTGGACATCAAGTTTGTTTAAATTTCCTAAATCTGGAAACATTTGCGACCCTGATTAAAGCGGTAATTTAATTTTTGTTAACGTGTTCACGCGTTAGGTCTTCGAGATTCAGACTTACTCACTGATCAAAATACGATCAGAATAAGATATTTTTAAAAACCTTTAGATGTAAAAACTTTTCATTTGGGATTGCAACAGTATTTGTAAGTAACAACTGCTTATTTTATTTTTTTCACAAAACGACTCTTTTGTTATATATGAAGCATCTGATAGAAATTTCCCTACATCTATCGATATTTGAACCAAAATATTGTTTTTTGAGCGTGAGTGTGAAACTTTTGTCACAACGTCTTTTACGTAACTCTTTATATATATTCCCATTTTCTACCAATTTATTTCTGCTTTTCAATCCAAATTTTCATCGTGAGAATTCTAGTGATAACAATGAATATTTAAATATTCATTTGCAAATTTAACGTCTTCCTTTCGATCAAATAAAATTTTGTTTCTCACATTTCATCAAAAAGCACTTGTCAGAATCAGAATCAAATTGATATTACTTTCGAAAACAATAGCATTGTAAAAACAGTTTTGAAGTGCCTGACAAGTTTTTCATGTATACATATTCTAATCTCATTTGGTCATTAAGTTGAGTGACATGTCGCTTGCTCTGTATTGCTGAACTATTCAGTTATGCAATTGAAGTGAGCACAGACTAGTTGTGTTTAATTGAATTATAGTTTACTTAAAGGTTCCGTAGTATCTACAGTTAAATAAGTGACTGAAATACGACTAAGAAAATATTTACTGTTTCCGGGAACTGGCCGTGATTTTTCACTAAAAAGTGCATAATCAAATCCATAATATAAAAAGCATGCGTAGTTTTCATGCTCAGTTTAGATGTGGAAGGCATTTAAACTAAGACTGGTTCAGCACTTTAAATTTAAGAAGAACTCCAAAGTTCTCCTCCTGTTAGTGCAGTTATGGCAACAACAATGATTAATACTGCTTAAGGTCCCATTCGACAAAATGCTATGACACACTATGGCGTGTTCTCCTCAGTGAGCGTCCAGTTCTCCTCCATTTTCTTCTGGTATTTATTTGGCAGAATGTTCTTGGATGGTTACCAAAGAAAGTTCCTTGTTGTCCTTTCTTACTTTCTTTCTAGTCATCCACATCATCCTCAGTATTGGGCAAAGGCAGCTGTTGATTTTAGTCTGCAGTCTGTTGAAAATCTTTCCAGGTACACACAATATAGAAGTGCTGACCTGAAATTAATGTTTAAAACTCAAATCTTTTACGTTGTGCTGAGTGCTGTAGACCCACACATTGACCTCAGAGTAATAAATATTTATCTTGCCTACATAGCTTCGACTTTAGCACTCTTTGCATAGTGTAACTGAAAGGATAATACCCACTAAAGTGAAGGGGATGACTTCCTCTAAATTCTTCTTGTTGATGATAATTGGTGTTAACTTTTGTTCCTTGAGTATTTTCATCAACTATGTTTTCTTTGTGTTTACTCAGAGTACTGTCTTCGTTGTACACTTTGTCAGCTCGTTGGTTTTAGGTGGTAAGTATTCGACACGTGACACAAATTATTCGCGAAATCCAAATCTTCCAGGTTTTTCAGTCAGTCCATGGTCTCATGCAAGGTACAGTCCACAGAAGCTAAGAAGATCACAGAAAATGACAGGCAACCTTTCCTTACTTCTATCTTCACTTTATATGCTTCATTGAGCTTTCTAAACCATAACTTCTCATTTGTCTAGCAATTCGAGTATTCTTGCCAGCGTCAAATATTATGCAGACATCCTATGCCCCTGCGCTCATTTTACTTTCATCGAGATAAGACACACCAGCTGGATGTCTCCCTGTGGGCTTTCACCAGCCAGTGTCATTTCGTCTTCTGCGATTCCAACAAAAATATGTTTACTTTTTATATTTTTTCTGTGCTCTGAAGCTGCTTTAGCGAGTCAGTTGTTTTTACGAGGTAGGACAGCTAACTCTAAACTCAACTATCTCTCTTTCTCCTGTTTTAGCACTAGCTTGTAATTTCAATAAACTAATATGTCAGGCATAGTTTTTTGGTGATCAGTATGTGGATATGAGAAATATGAAATGAAAATTATAGATTAAAAAGAAATGGAGAGGTAGAAAGACACCATTATACATTCACATGTTGCCTCAATGAAGGATTCACTTAATTTCAAAGTACCCCCGATCAATAGTCTACATCGGCTGTAAAACCGTTAAAAATCAAAGACTCTTGGATACCTATTATGTTCTAGTTGAATACTTAATAGCGATGAAAAACTTAACATATGAAGACAATGAGTTAGGGAGGATCAATTCATAAGGTCTGTGTGTTACCATTTAGCTAGCAGGAAACAATCCATCGGTTCTCTCATAGTAAATTCTCAAAGTTTTATTACAAGCTAAAATCAAGTTTGAAACAAGGAAATGGATACATTAAATAATAATAGTAAGAAATGCAGTTTGATTGTAATCATAGTTAAATGTCAAGTAGCAAAACAGATAGTGTCGTATATAGAATGGTGCATAGGATGTATAGATACTGTAGAAGAAGAGTTTAATCTTCTAAGAAGAACCTTGTGAGAAAATGGATTTCCGTTATTTTTTAAGGACAAGAACATGCGGTCAAAACCTATGAAATGTGACTTAACTTCTGTAACGAAAAAACGCTGTACATAAACTTGGAATTCAAAGATGATTTAACTGACAACACCATTAAAAGAAAGTTCCAGAAGTCTTTGAAAAGGAGATTCCCTGCAGCATCGTTGAGAATACCGTTTTCTAGTCGACCATTACTGTTCAATAACCTGAAGGACAGGATACCGTAGCTAACCGACTCTTTGTGCTTTTATTAATTCACCTGCTCCTTTGGAGCTAGGTATATCGGTAGTTCGACTCAAGTTTTGTCTAAAAGAGTACAAGAACACTATCCTGCGTGATAACGAAGAGGTGGAAGTGAGGATGTAAGAGGCGTAATCACTAAACATCTGGTAGATAGTGATCACCCTACCTCTACGGCCTCTTCCTTTGAAGTCATCTACAAGGCGGAATATAACTTGCCCAAATCATTACGTATCCAACTCATTTTTATCGCTGAGACTTTGACCATCGAGATAGAAAAACCCGATATCTGTATACAGAAGTTTGTTCAACCCCTGCAACTCTCATAGTCTTAAGTCGTCTATGCTAAAGTATGATAATCCCTATTCATACTTAGGCTTTACTTATTTTTAATTTTGTTTTTATTTATTCAATTTGTATATCCTTCTCTTATTATTTCGATTGTTACTATTACTATTCTCACTTTTTATTGTCCCTGGTATTATTTGACTTGTTCCACTTATCATTCCAAATCAGTTTCGTTTTGCCAGGTTAAATTCTGTGTTCTTAAATTTCACGCCATGTTATGTAATACTTTTACTTGCCCACTAGTCCTGTAATTTTACACCCCTTCCAACATCTATACATCCTATGAACTATTCTATATATGACATTGTTTGTCTTGATTATGATTATATTTAAAAACGCTTTAATTGTATTTCATACTATTATTATTTTATGTATTCACATCTTAGTTTCAATTTCCTCACGGGATATAATTTCTTAGAAATTAAGTTTGACTCAGTCAGGCGCCTTCTGTTGAAGAACCTGTATTTAAAGATCCAAAACAGATGAATTAAGAAAGTAGACTGTTACGGTATATTGTTTTTTTTCATTAATCGGACGATCAACACTAGATTTTATGGTGGTTAAAGCAGAACTTAATGGTCTTTAATCAGATAGAATCGCCAATAAGCAGTGTTTTTGGGATATTAGTCATGTGGAAGTATCTGTTAAGTGATCTTATATTCTGATATTCCTATAAATGATTATGGAATGAAATAAAAGACCCTTCTAAACGCAGTCTGTTAACCGGCAACGCTGATCAATAAAAATGTTAATTTTAGTTGTCTATACTATTTTTTCTGAAGAGAGGAGAATTTCTACATAGTTGGACTTCTAAATGGAATGCTTCGTCCTGTCTTTATTTCGAGTTTTAAGAAACAAAAACTGATGTTTGGATCTAAGCTTCATGCCTCTGACAGTTAAAACGTATTTTTATCCTCCTCCTTGAAGGACTGGAGCAGGAAGAACTCACTTGAGGGGATTAAATTTCTCACTTACTTTGTTGTGAATTACACTTATTTTATGAGAGCATACAATACTACCACATAATCCAGAATAACATAATGAGTTGAAACTTTATCGCGGAATCCTCTGTTTTAGAGGTAAGTGCTTCAGCCACCATGCCGCATTTTTACAGTGATACTGTTATAACGTCACTTTTGATCGATTACTATTAACCTTTAGATTGGCAGAGCACAAAACACTAGGTCGTACATTAGGTGCGATGAACACCTACAACATATTTAGCCTTCATCTGAACCTTTTAGAAATAAAACATATATCTGCTTCGGATTCGCAGACCTAAAAAATACCATCAAATAAAAAGTATTTTAGTTTGTAGAAGGAGCAAAACCACAGCATGAACAAACTTTTGTCCAACTGGCACAATAAATGCATATTAGTTTATTTTTTGACTCAGTTTAGCCCGCATTATAAGGGTTACTTCTAGTGTTGAGGGATTGGTATTCCTGTGAAGACAGTTAAATTATTCATGGCACTTACTCAACACCAATAGCTTACAGGGTTTCCTTCCCTTCTATTACATATTAACATTCTAGACAAAAACAATTAAGCTTACCGTAAAACTGCGAGCGATGACTTTCAGTAACAGTTATTTTCTGTTTGTGACTGCCAGTCTTAATTTGTTAACCTGTGCACAATATCCGGACAATTTAGTTAATCACATAGTATCTTTCAACTTTTTCGTGACACTTTCAAATCATTTTTATCTCTTGACAGGTATGGATTTCATGATATAATATTGAACTTACATATTCTGATTATTCGGATCGGATTTACTCCTTCCTAAACATTAGTGATAAATACCGTTGCACACAAATATTTCCTGGAAATGCCTTCATTAGCTGAAAATTTAAAAGCCCCTGAAGAGAACAAGGGGGCTCTAAATTCGAACCAATCAAATCATTATTTATCCATCAACAATAATACACTTTATTTAAATCAAGACGAACTTGAAGATGAAGTATGTATCGGATGTCATGTGAACAACAATAATCCGAGAGTTGACAATGAGAAACAAATGAACACAAATTGGGCTGCAGATACCCAGATTCTTTTACCAGCAAAATGGACAAAGAGTGTTGAACCATCTCTCACGTATATTAATGATGAATCAGAAGAGTTGAATAACCAGGTGCGTAATTTTTCCACAAACATTACTGAAGTAAATTGGTACGATAAAGAGAAAATTAACACATGAATTGTGTGTCAAACCAACATGAAGTTTATTCTTTTATTAAATGTTGAGTGCCCATTTGAAGATTTTTTGACAATCAAAACATAAAGTTAGATATGAGGAGTTTTTTCCGGTCACCTTAATAAAAACCAGAGACTTTATTCAGAAGGAGCATGTAGAAACATCTGTGCTAATTTCCGTAAGTTTTCGAACTCTTTTACCACTACCGACAATACGACTCGTCTTCCAAATGTTTACAGGTTCAAGCCCGGGGACCAATTTTAAAAACAAAATACTCGAAATACTTAACTGGTCTTTGGTAGTTCTTACATTTTTGCTTATAAAGGCCTTATTTATTTAAGGAAGGATTTCGGGTAATACAGTCATTTAAGGAATTCTTTGAAACGACTTTGTAAACTAAGAGTGACAATTAACTAAATAAGTAATTTCACTCACAACGTTTTAAAATGATTCATACTTAGGTTGTTGGAGGACTTTAGTTATTATACACTGGTGCTTTTTATCTATGGCATACTTACAGATGCAGAAAGTCTAGACTTGATAGTACCCCAGTCCACAAGCAGTACTGTGTACTACTGGATGAATCTTTTAATGTTTTGCAGAATGATTCCGTAAGCAACTCAGTGAAGCATAATGACATCCACCAGGTTGTTCTTGAAGGTTGGTTATCCAGTTCCATTAAAATTGTGAGGCTACTATAATAAAAGCCTGTCTCACACCTATTTATTCATCGAATAACGCTTCATAAGATCTCAGAAACTAATGAATTATCTTTTGATAGAAAACAGTAAATGAGGAGACAGCTTCCACTGATGATAGAGGGGTCATATCAACCGATGTTTCGACTTCAGGATATTCATAACAAGCGTGTTCAATAACAAGACAAATAACATCTTGCTACAAAGCCAAAATTAAATATGTCGAGGTAAATCGAATAGAAACTGTAACAGCTTAACATTTACAAATATGTAAATTGGTGACAAGTAATCGCTGAAAAGTCCTTAGACCATGTTTTCATCACCGAAAAGCCTATTTACAACCACCAATGCATTAATTTAACTTAAAAGATTCTAACTTCATTCACTCCCTTCAGCGCTCCCAGATTTACTATTAATTTAGTCATGATAAGTCTACAGGCTTGGTGACTACAATACAGATTTAGCTATTGCTAAAGATTAAGCAAGTAAGTAAGTGATAATGGTTAGTGAATAGTGACCACTCAGTAGGGTGGCATCTCTCAATGACAAGACCAAAAACTAACAATTACATTTAGCCCGGGATTCATTAGTTGTTTTACTAGTTAGAAACTCTGATAAAAGCTGTAGTGAAATGATTATTGACACTGGTAAAATTAGTAACAGTTGTTTACTAGCTGACGGAAATCTGAACTTAGAGCTTTGCACGAATTGCAGCAGTTCTTTTAGTCACACTTCATGAAAACACATAAAAGTGTAGAAAACGAAATACATAGAAACTATATTAACACTGAAATGTGAAAGAGAAACAGTAATTACATAGATCGCGAAATATACCCATTAATTCATGAGGAAAAACAAAGTTTATGTCCAATCACTCCAAAAGCCTACGTTTTCTCCACTTATGCATAGCCGAAGCTCTAGCTGCACATGGCCAGAAACCTAAATTATGTATTCAAAAACGTTTTGTTAAACCCTTTCTTTACCTTGGTCATAATAATGTTCTTCGATTTTATTCTATTTTGCCACTTGAATTCATTCCACTTAACTTCACTTTTGCCGTCTTTATTGTTATCATCATGTTATTCTGAATTTTTCAGACCTGACCTACAATTTAAAATCTCTTTACCAGTTCAATTATTTAATAATCTTTAAAAGTTTTGTAATTCATCCAGTTCATCTCTACCCCATTAGTAGTCCATCACTGTAATTACCTTTATTCTTATCATATGCATATTGACTGAGCAATTTCTAGCTCCACATAATGTCTTTTTTCCGTAATATAAATACTATTGTACAGCCTGAAAATGAAGTTGTTGAAAAGAGATATTTCTTCGATGAACAAAAAATTGCATAGATTACTATTGCTGTCATTCTCAGAATTGTGTTTAGGTATCTTTCTCCTTAAGTAAAGGCTGAGTTCCGGTCAAAAACTAGGACTTGTAATGATTTCACTGGTACGTAAGGTGAGATGATGAAATTGCATCGACGGGTATCACAATCCTTCTGATTACGGATTCATCCAATCGGAAAACACATATACAACTATCCAGTGAGATGAGATGCAGCAGTGATTTATTCGCTCAACTGCTCCACGCTACTTTTACATAGGCAAATTGACGGAAAGGAGCCGGAAAATATTCTGGGACTTGTAAGGTCAACTATGTAGATTCACTGTGTAAGTCAGGTAAGATTAAGTGGATAAAAACTGTGGAGTCTTTAATATGTACCCCATAGACACTATGTACATCTAAACTTCAAGATGTTAGAGTTCTGAATAGTTTAAGGCACATGATTTTTGCGTCACTAACTTTAACGCGAAGTCGACTGCGTGGTTTTAAGAGAATAGAAGCAATATTTTTCGTCTCATTTCTCTACTAATAGTGACCGAGTAAAGCGATGAAAAGCTTATCTAAGGAATAGGATTACCAATGAGATAAAAGCAACAAGTTGAAGGTGGTTCATGAATGGAATAGCTATGTGTATTTATAGAACTGTTCTGGTTGTTATCACTACCCGTTTGCGAACACTGTCAAAGTAATTTCTTATTTCAGTACCAGCAAGAGCATCAGTTTTGCATGATCACACAACCCAGGGTTAAACTATCTGAGGACTGTTACGAACGACGTGTTTGGAGTGGCTTTTCGAGTTTTGTCTGTGCCATAACCTTACCACCAGCCACAAATCAACGCAGAATAAATCAGGATCTACCACTTTTGGCACCCAGAGTTACGATACCGTATAGCTGTATGGATAGTCATTCGACGGAAGCGCAGCGCTGCTTTTACACTCCTATTCATAAGCAGCACGAATTCATCCTCAGACCCGTAACTTGGTGAAAACGATTTACACCATGATGGTAACTGCTCTCAGTCTAACCACAATCCAGGCGATATTCGTTACAGTCAGTGTAGCTTGTTCAGTTGTTGAGATATGCTTAGCCCGACCATCATGTCATCACAGTAGCAGCTGAGTGAGTCATATTGATTTTATTCTGTATGTAAATTTCTCTTAATCATCCTCAAAATAATCTATTCGATATTCATATACAGTCGAAGAAGAGAATATGCATACTGGAATGTCATTTATGTGGATCAGAAAAAGCCTGGGATCAAATTCATGAAGAAAATGATGAATTGAAAACGTTATATCACAATTTACAAGATCCTCACTGTCATCAGAATGGTAAAGTGAATAAAAATGGTTTAGTAAACAAACAAGTCAATGGATTTCCAATGCACGAAATTAATAAAATTAAATGGATTGAAAAATGTAAAGAGTTTGAAAATGAAATAAAAGATTTGAAGAGAGCTAAAGATAAAGTATTTCGTCAAAACATCAAATATGAAGAGAAGGTAGGCTTAGAAACTTTTCATCTTTTATTTTCAGTGATAGTGTGATTCCGTCTCACTTTCTAACGAAACTCCATTTGTTATGAACAAATAATTATAATGTTAGAATTACACTTAAAATTTTGCACATAGTTTCAGTTTGTATCTATTTTTATCTATATTCCCTAGAATTAATCTTCTCAGTCCGTCCTGTTTGAACGTCGATGACGCACAGAAAAATATTCCTGTTTCTTTTTAAAGAGGCAAAGTCCCTAGTTATAGGTTATTATTGTGAACAACATATTCTTGTCTCAAAATTTATTACCAATTGACTTCAGTTAGAAGGCCATTCAAGTTACTAAGTTTATTAGCTTTTCATTTCATTGTTAGGAAACACACTAATCAATGATTAAATAAGATTGAATAAGAATGTAAGAGATCTTTAATTTGTGCAGAATTCTTTACACAGGGCAATAATGTTATTTGACGTTCGATGGCATGGCAAATTCTACCAATCTATTTTGTTCTTCATAATTTGCGTCCATACATATCGACAGCGATTCATCTACCAAAATATGCTAAGTTTAATCAGTACCTGATCTTTAATACTTGTTCCAGTTATCAGGTACTATTTTTTAATGGTAGTCTGGGGATTAGAAATAATTGGCATATTCACTGAAAACATATCCTTGCTTCTTAATGGTTGTGACAGCCCAGATAACGTTATTATTTCATACACGATAGGCAGGAAATACAGGAGTTTAACATGAAACAGTAAGTGAGAAATTTTTGTAACACATTAGAATCTTTCGAAATACTACTTGTTACTATCCTAGCAACTGTGATTATGAAGTATGTAATTGGTGTTAATATTGCACCATTATAGTCAAGTACTCTCTCGTGAGTAGCCAAATATGTACTATATGTGTAGCAACAGAAGGCAAGAGTCAGGCAACAGATCATTTATTAAGGAAATCAACGCATATTTATATATTTTCATGTACATTATTATAGTTTAATTAAGCAAACGAACACAGTCTTCCGATTGGTTATTTCTCACGTAAAGTTAATCTTTCATCTATTTGTGACTGTTTCTTGAATGTCAAATCCTCTATATGTTAACTGCATCCGCCTACGCAAAGCCAATCTTTGTTCACATTTTCTCACGACAAATCTTGGGGACGTAAATATTGACGTAAATTACTATCTACCAATTTGGCTAGTAGGCAGCTCTCACCACACTCGTCCCCCGTCAAATAGCTTCGCGCGCAGGCGTTCCGACCTTCTGGGTGATGCATCCTCTCGTTGATGATTGTTACAGACCGGCTTGTCCCAATGCACCCATCGTTAGATCTGACTGGTGTTAACTCGTTTTTGTTTATCACCTCTTCTGATGGTATATACTTGACCCCGTCTTTTTGTGACTGTGTATGGTCCTTCCCACTTTGGAAGGAGTTTGCGTGAACCTGGCCCGCATCCGACAGCATATCTTCTGTCTCTACACTTCACTTGGTCCCCGACTGAGAAGGTAATGCACTGAGTCTTTTCTCTCAGCTGAGACTTCGCGACATCCCTCCGCTGCTTCTGCAATACATTCTTGACGGCTTCTTTCCGTTCTGCTTTTAATTTCGTCGTACTCCACTTTTGGTGAAGGGGCCAGGTTTCGTTGTGTATCGGTAATCGTGGTTTTCTACCATACATCAGTTGAAAGGGTGACTTTTTCGTTGTTTCCTGGGTGGTGGCACGATGTGTTAGTAGAATCAGTGGCAGCTCCGTTTCCCAGTTACCGCCCTTCGAGGCCAGCCACTCCTTCAGCGTACGGTTGTTTCTCTCCGTCAGGCCATTCGTTTGTGGATGGTATGGGGTCGTTCGAATCCTCTTGATGCCAAGCTGTTGCAAACGGGAAGTAAATTCTTCACTTTCGAAACACGGACCTTGGTCTGTCAGTATTACCTTTGGTACGCCATGGTCTGCAACGATGTGTCTAACTACTGCATCTGTCACGGTCCTTGCGCGTTGGTCTGGGATTGCTACGGCGTCTACCCATCGTGTCGCGTGTTCTGTCATCACCAAGAGGTACTGATTACCATTGGATGTCTGAGGAAATGGACCCATAACATCTACGGACCACAAGTTACTTATCGCCGTAACTGGAATCGACTGAAGTGGTGGTCGTATGCACCGGTCGCCTTTCATTAGCTGGCACCGTGGACATCCAAGTACATATCTTGCTACGTCCTCTCTCATACCTGGCCAGTACATACTTTGTCTCAAGAGGTCGGTTGTTCTGGCCACTCCGGTATGTGCTAGCTGGTGGCATTCTTCTATCATGTCGTGGCGCGACGATTGAGGTATGACAGATAGCCAGCTTCCGTCGTCCTCTCGCCAGGTCAGAGTCCCGTAGACATTCACTCTTAGTCGGTCTCTCTGTCTGAGTAGTGTGGTTAGCTCCTTACTCGCTGTAGCTGGATCCACTTCTATTCCGTTAGTGATCACCTGTATTACTGTATTCAGCGTATCGTCCAACCTTTGTCTGCGTGCCAGTCTTAGTGGGTCTTGTTCTACTGCATGCACTCCGTACGCGACCTCGAGCAACTCAGACTCGTCTTCTGGTCTTGATAACAAATCTGCCAAGACATTTTCATTTCCAGGAACGTGTGAGATGGTAAAATCGTACTCCTGAAGACGCAACATCCACCGTGACAATTTCCCTCGTGGGTCTCTCGCTGTCTTCAGAAACTGTAGCGGCTTATGATCCGTTTCGATGTGGAACCGTCGGCCGAGTAAATAAGGTCTCCATTTGTCGATTGCCCATACCATCGCTAAACATTCTTTCTCTATCGTTGAATACTTTCTCTCTGTGTGTGTCAAAACCCGACTGGCATACTCAACGATTCCCTCACCCTGTCTTAGGACCGCACCTATGGCGTAGTCACTGGCATCTATGCACACTGTGAACTGTCTTCCAGGTACAGGAAGCTTTAGTGTCATTTGTTGGTGGTCGAGCAGCTGTTTAATCCTGTTGAATGTCTTCTGCGATTCCTCCGACCAAATAAACTTCGGTTCACCTAGTAGCCTGTACAGAGGGGCTGCTATCTCATTGAAGTTCTTCACGAAGCGACTATAAAACGCTGCTCTACCTAAGAATCGTCTCAATTTTCTCTTTGAATTCGGGGCCGGGATCGTCTTTATCGTCAAGATTTTCTCCGGTAGTGGTTTAATCTCACCATTTCCCACTTTATGTCCCAAAAGAGTTACATTCTTTTTGGCTATCTGAGACTTGGTTTTGTTGACGCGCAGTCCAAACTCTTCGATGCGTCGCAGCACGGCTTCCACATGGTTCACATGATCGTTTTCGTTTTGACTATATATGACGAGATCATCACCGTAAACCTCAACGTTTCTCAAGTTCTTAAGTAATAGCGTCATCAGTCGTCTGAACGTGAACGGTGCACCTGCTAGTCCAAACGGCATGCGTTTAAATCGATATTGTGTCTGACCCACGATGAATGCCGTCTTGTCTCTATCACCTGGCTTTATCGGTATCTGCCAGTATCCTGAGCGAAGACCGAGAACTGAAAACAAATTTGCGCCTTGAAGGCGATCTAAAGTTTCTACTACTGTTGGCATGGCACACGGTCTTAATTCTCTCATACTGTTTAACTGGCGAAAATCAACGCAGAATCTATACTTCCCATTCGCCTTTTTTACTAACAGCACTGGAGAGTTGTACGGGCTATCAGCTTCTTCAATAATATCATCTTTTAACATCTCTCGCACCTGTCGCTCAACTTCGCCTTCTAAATGACATGGAACTCTTCGCGTGGTAAATGACGTTACTTTCGGGCCACTTAACGGAATTTCATGATTCACCTTATCGCAATAACCGTATGGGTCCCCATCTCCAGTAAACAGATGATCGTATTTGCTGAGTAACTTTGCTATACTTCGGACTTCTGATGCCGCAATCCCTGCTACCTCACTATTCTCGTGCATGCTAAAACACCCGTACTTCGTAACGACAACCCTTTTCTTCATGTTATTCACTGCATCCACTTCTCGCAAAAAGTCGGCCCCAAGGATTGTTCGGCGCAATTCAGGTACAACCAGGAATGGGAACGTCACGCAATCCTCTCCAATTCTAACCCTGCAGTCTGAAACTCCCGCGATTCTTAACACGTGACCGCCTACTGTCTGCACTGTCAACGAACACGGTCTTATACTCTCATATAGACTCCTATCTACGAGTGAGACTGCAGCCCTTGTGTCGATTAAACACACCAACTCGCGATCATATACCCGTAACTTCGAATATATTGCCCCCTTCTCCATCGCCCCTATTACCTCAAGTCTCGGAACCCAGGAAGAAGACACAGTATATCTTTTAAAAATTCTTCTTTGTCGTCTTTCCGGGCAGCGGTCTCTCCAGTGCCCTAGTTTGCCACATGCGAAACACCGGTCTCTCCGCACGCTCAGTCTCAGCGCGGCCACTTCACGTTGCAACTCTTCGATTTGTTTCTCACACTGCTCGGATTTTGGTGGCTCTACCGCTGCAACCGTCTTACTCAACAGTTGTCTGGTCACCCTCGCAAGCTTCCCGATGTCCAGTGGCTGTACGGCGTTAACCAGATGTAGCTGTTGGGATATATGTTCTGGGACACTCTCCATAAACTGGGATGCCAACATTGTGCCTCAGGATCTTCGTCCAGTGTTGGTAGAGCGCGACGAAGTAGGCTTGTCAAGGTCAGCGCCAATACGAGAGGGTCACCGTCAACTCCCAGCTTCATGGTGCGAAACTGCTGCATTGCCCGCTCTCTGTCCATCGGGGCTGTCAAACTCCTGCTTCAAGCGTTCCACCACTGACTTCCAAGTTGCTTGCCCCTCTGTTTGCCTCACACTATCATATGCTGCCTTTGCCCGGCCTCTCAGTAGCGTCCCAAGAACAACCGTCTTCGCTGATGGCTCTTGCACGCCATTCAACTCTGCAATAGCTTCGAAGTCCCTTAATAAGATCCATATGTCTCCTTCTTCAAAAGCTGCAGGCCATGGGACTTTCGTTTCGCGACAGGCAGCGACACCAAATGTAACAACAGAAGGCAAGAGTCAGGCAACAGATCATTTATTAAGGAAATCAACGCATATTTATATATTTTCATGTACATTATTATAGTTTAATTAAGCAAACGAACACAGTCTTCCGATTGGTTATTTCTCACGTAAAGTTAATCTTTCATCTATTTGTGACTGTTTCTTGAATGTCAAATCCTCTATATGTTAACTGCATCCGCCTACGCAAAGCCAATCTTTGTTCACATTTTCTCACGACAAATCTTGGGGACGTAAATATTGACGTAAATTACTATCTACCAATTTGGCTAGTAGACAGCTCTCACCACATATGAAAATGATGACATCGTCATGTTTAGATCCGATAAAGGCTCTTGAGTTGTTATAATGAATAAAACTGACTATGTACATAAAATGTTGACAATTCTTAACGATAACGAAAAATTTTAGGTGAAAAAAACTAAGAAGGATGCAACAACGTCATTTGAAAATAAAGTAAATGCTTTTTGATGTGGTTGTGTTCTCTGAGCTGGATAGTTAATTTGCGAAGCTTTCGTCACCCTACTAGGTGACATCTTCAGCGCATACTTCACCCAAACATGCACCCAAACATTAAATTCACCATGGAATATAAACAAAACGACGAGTTCAATTTCCTCGACTTAAATGTAAAAAGAAGAAACGACGGAACGGTTGAAAAGTCTATCTACAGAAAAGAAACTTGGACCGGACAATACCTTCACTACAACAGCTTCTACCCTTTAAGCGGGCATTAGAAATGACACTGTACGACAGAGCCAGGAAGTTATGTTCATCTGACAAGGTAGAAGTAGAATTCAGCTTTGTTGAAAAATACCTTGAGGAAACGTGTATCCAAAGGGATTTATCCTAAAGTATAGCAAAGAAAAAGATGAGAAAGAGAAGCATCCAACAGTTGAAAAGAATAAAGTGTTCATTTACCTCCCGTTCAAAGGAAAAGCAGTATCACAAAAAATTGACAAGAGGATGAAAGGAGCAATAAAAGGATGCTTCCCTCCAGCTAAGGTGGTGACACTATACAGCACTATATGCTCTATAAGCCGATCGAAACTGAATAAATACCCTGCTGACGTTACCTCCAACTGCATTTATAAATTTACGTGCATCTGCGTCAGCAGGTACATTGGAAGGGCATAAAGAAGGGCTTCAATCCGGTTTTCAGAGCATATTCCAAGAAACTTATGCTTAAAAGGAAGCAGATATTTACAAAGTGCAATCACCAGACACCTTGTGGATACGGTTAATTATGTCGAGATTTCCAAATCCTTCAAAATATTAAACATACAAAGCACAGCGAATCTACTACGATTTGCTGAAGCAGTTGCAATCAAACGTTTCAGATCGAACTTATGCACACAGAAAGGGAGTGCAGTCAATCTCTCACTTTCTTGGTAAATGTATTACTTTCATGACACTGATTAGTCACACACACTAGTAAGCTAAGCTCACTAAGCAAGTTTTCACTTTGATGAACTACAACTTTTTTAAGTTGCTATTTTGACGTACAGGCTATCACTACTTTTTAGATTTTTCTGTTTTCTATCACCCTCCCCTTTTTCAAAGTCTGAAAGTGTATAAAATGATAGTGACCTAAACTAAAAGTAGTAATACTTATATTCCGGATGCGTTCATCTTGTAGTGTCTTCTCTATTACCTTTTAAACGTTGAAGTATGATATTGTCATTATTTATAACCATTGTAATTTCAGGTAGTTTGCAGATGATGAGAGCCTGTGGAATAGAATGATATCATTTTACACTGCAAATCTGTTCTTTCTCCATCGAAATCTGTACTTAATACCAGTTGCTTCTGAAGTTTTTCATGAGTATGATTTATAGTCTCCGTGTGAAATTTCAACTCAGTGGAATGCACTCAAGTTTCACAACCTGAAATCATGTAAATATCATGTGATATGTGTATATTTCCATCTGAGTCAGAATGAGCTTACAGATAAAATTACCTGGTAAATCTCTGAGATATTCAGTGAAATTGCGATTCAAATCATTTCAGTCTGCCTTACAAGCGCTACTGCCTGATATGAGTGGTTTATAACTAAACCTATAAACCGCTTGTTTGTATCATCAAACTGTAAATTATTAAGAAGAATATTCCTATTTGCTTTGGTTTTTGTCTTGTCTTTACTCCTGAATGGATATCCTACATTTGTATTCAGATGTTCTTCATGTAGCATTTTCACATTATCTGCATATTAGTCACACGTTTTCTCGCTAACCCATTACTAAAGACTACTGCATCGTTGACCTATTGCCCTGTTCTGAAGTCATCAATTTCAGATGGCCACTTCATAATAAGCGCTAACTTTCGTTCTGTGACACAAGTCTGGATGTATCACTCCAAATAACAAAGTACTTCATACTTACGTATTGACAGATAATAGCTATCAAATGTTCGGTAGATATAAGTTGTTATCAAATGATTGGATCACCTAGCAAACTAATAAACATTCTTTAGGAAATCGAATTTTTGATGGCACATTCAATATTGTTTCTAATCACAAAGAGATACCTTCTAGTTTGTTGACCACATTGTGAAACTGACTTATAAAATCTGGTCAGTATTACTACAGACTAGGCATATGACACTAGTTATGCGGCAGCCTGCTTAAATCACTGAGTTACTTAAATTTCTATCCATTGTAATGTATGAACTCTTCTCCATTTCTTACCGTTTTAACCATCTAATTATGATTTTGGATAGCTACATGAACTTGTGCACATTTTTAATCTACTGTAATACAAAGTACTTTGCACGGGAAATGAGAAGAATACATTAAAGAGGATTTAAAATTACTTCAAATGGAACAACATAGTGTCACACGGTGTACTGTCGAATGCAGTTTTATTTGAAGATCATGTATGAAGAGCAGATATTTTGAAATTTGAATACTCTGAGAACTCTGTCCTATATTTTGACATATTGTCTAGGATAAAGTTGTTACTGTTATACCCTAGAAACCAGCCAAGCCTTAGTTCTGCAGTAGATGACTTACAGGTCAAGATAACTGAGTGGTAACGCCTCCAACTGTAGCACTGAATGACGTGTGTTCGCATCCCTGACAATTGTCAGTAAGTATTTTTATTTTTTTTTGATTTACAGCTTGATTCCACACCGTATTTTCAGTACAAGTATGGAACTTTTAGCATGGATATCGGTAGCCCAAATTCAGGCCGACCATAGATATCGGGTGTGCGCCGGCAGGTGATCGAACCCCGGACCATGTGCATGGTTGGCGAGAGTCCCAACCACTGTGCCACCGACGCACAGTACGAAACCTAGGTCTAAGGATTCTTGCTGACTAGCCTGCATCTGTTTGAATCAAAGATTTATACACGTGCATATCACTGAGAGTACACTAGTATTTACTTAAACGCAGATTCATAGTGTAACGGGGAAATAAAAGTACTAATCTTAGTCAATATGAATGACAATAATCGGACATCTCAATGACAAAAGATGAAATATGACACAATCAAATAATAGATCAAAAAGAAATTTATTCATCAACTAATTACAAATACAAATTTTCTTAAAAATAATTAAACAGAATATCACCCTGAAATGAGACAGTCTGCTATTACTGCTTTTTGTTTTCTACAGAGATATCGATCATTTTAAGCACTAATCACCATAGTTATAGGCATTTGTTTTTTTATTTAAAATCGATTACACCATTGATACGGGTAGATTTCGGTCTAGTCGAAAGGTATCACTGTCCTCCCTTTTTTTTAAAAAAAACTTCTATAACAGATATCTGAACTAACGAATAAACTCAATTCGAAACAAGATCAAATACGTAGTTTACTTATTGAATTAGAACAATCAAATCAAAGGTTAAATGAACTTGAAACACAATTCAAAGCTTACAAAGCACAGACAAGACAAAATGAAGAGAATTATGAACAATTATCTCGTGAATTTGTTATAATGAAACAATTTAAAGAACAGGCTGAAGTGAATGCTAAAAATTGTGAAAATAATCGATTGTTGTGTGAAAAACAAATGAAAGAATTAGATGAAAAGTTAGTTTTTATCCTATTTTTTCTTTTGATATCTTGTTCAGGATTTTAGTATTCTAAGAATACATTCACTTTTTGCAGTGGTATATGTGCAGCACGACTGCAAATAAAGAAGAACCTAAATACTCAAACATTTTGCAGTTCTGTATCAAGGCGTTTATCAGAGAAATAGGTAACCGATATTAACTCAAATGATAATTTTGAATAAGACTGAAATTAGTGTGTCACGTAAAATTACTAAATCAATTTTGTTGGTTAAAGGATATATTGGCAGTTAAGTTGTTGATATCGCTTAAGTTTCCTTACCAACTTAGTAACACATAATAGGACTACTTTTATAGCTCATTAAAATTTGTAATAAACATTTCGTTCAATGACATATATCAGTCTTTGACGTCGTCTGTTTCACATGTATGAGCTTGAAAGCCAATATCTTTGATTATTAGTTTTCATAACATTATGATAACAAGATGATTTACACAGTTACATTTTACCAATAAAAATTAGATTCTGTTGTGAGTATAACTTACTAGTTTTTCAAGCAGATCAGCTTCTGGCAGCTTTCGGATTTTGTGGTAGATTTAAACACTTATAGTTATCATCTACACTTTCTACTATCTGTTGAATGCGTCTCATGTATATTCTTATATACAAGCTGTTTAGCAAACTCTTAACTGTTTGATTACATCATTAATTAAAACACTTAGAAATTACTCATATCTTTATAATTTTAGTTATGAAAAAAGTAAACAACGTTACTACGATGACATTCAAGGATTAATGAGTCAGTTGGACATGGAGCGTTCAAGAGCAGATGAACTTTTGCAAAAAATTGAACAGAATCGTCGTCAAAATGAAGATAAAATTAGAACGGTAAGGTTGTAATCCTTGAATTCAGTTTTTATTCTCTTCCGAATGAATTTGTCTTATAAACACTACTTTTTCTATTCGTCACTGGTTTGAGCAGGAAAATAGTGTCAGAATGATTCTGTATGATACACGAATCATTAGAAAAGCTGTCACTAATATCAATAACTTAAATTTCTTTGGTTGGAGGATTTCAACTTGAGCTAACGTCAGTTGAAGAAGCATCGGAAAACCTGGGAGTACTAAACAGGGGTTTCGGCCCAGCTTGGGAATCCACAGGAGTATGCATCCGCTGCGGTTCAAACCCAAGACCTTCTGGTTACAAGACGGGCTCGTAGACCATTAGGCCACTAGGACCCGATCCAATTTTGTTGATTTTCAATAAAATGTACGCATTTTGTGAGTGAGAAATCGATCTGTCAAGTGGATAACATGAGTCGGAACTAATTACCCAGACGACATTGTGCTGTATTGAGAAGAGCTTTCATAAGAATATAACTGGATTCATTCAGGACCGACAGTTGAACTGTCATTTTCGATTTGCCTAGAGATTGCCACTGGTCGGTATGAGGGGATTTTATTGAACAGTAGTGTGTCACTCAGACTCTACGCTCACAATAATCGAAAATACTATCTTTTGTATAGTGAATATATTTTATTTCCTAGGGAAAGTAATCTTTCAAAATTCTCACTATGATTTAAAAATCTGCTTAATTGCGACGTAATTATTTTCCAGACTCTAGTGGTTTTTGTGCTTATGATGTGAAAATAAAAGATGTTTCATTCCAGAAATCGGGAAAATAGTTTGACTGATGGAATTTTTACGCTGTGCACAATGTTGATGACTAAAGTTGTCTTGTATCGATTTAACTTGTGGCGCGTTAAATGTTCCAACATTTTTCCGCTTTTTTTCTTTTTAAATTCTTATTTAGTAAGTGAATCAACTACCATACATCAATTTATTCGGTTAATGGCCTTTATAACCTGTTATTATAATACTTTAAAAAAGTTAATTTATTCTAGATTGAACAAACGCAACAGAAAAAACTTGATAGTTTGTTGGAAGAAAGTCAAAGAGAACTCAAAAGACAATTGGTTAAAGTTAATGAACAAATAAAAGAACAACAAATGAAAATATTTAATCAAGAGTTGAAAATCTCCACCTTAGAATCAGAAAAAAATGAGGTTAGTAAGGTCACTGGCGGATTTATTAAATTTCATTCAATGTGCATTCTGCGATTTGCAGAATCTAGTTTTAAATGCACCCTCTGTTTACCAGTCTATGCTTTGAGTAGCTGAGTGACTTATAAATCAGTTGCTAGCTGATATAAATAAGACATAATTTAAACAAAAACAACACATTTAATAAAAAAATCCTACTTTAATTGGCTGGAGGATTTTATCATGAGCTGATATCATTTAGAGGACCATCGGAAAACCTGTAGGGAGTACTGGACAGCTGTTCCGTCATAGTTTGGGACTCTTCACCAGTACCCACCCACCACCACTGTTAAAACCCAGGACCTTCCGCTTACAAGGCGACCTTGTAGACCATTAAGCCACTGGGACCCGATCCAATGGCCAGTCCATGAATTCAGACTTCTGCCAATTCAAAACATAGCGTGACCATTTCTTAGTGTCTTCTTCGATGAGTTACTGCCTCACCTTCAACCTGCTGTACCCTACTGATCACGGCTTCCCACTAGAACCCCAGGTAACTGCCTGAATAGGGCCAGTCGCTAGTGAGCTTCCGATGAATTTTCAAGTATTGGTTTTTGTAGAAAGTGGGCAGTAACACATTGCTATATCTTCTTCGATGAGTTACTGCCAACTCCCTGCAAAAACCAATACTTGAAAAATCCTACTTTATACAAGTAAGCTTTTTAGAAACTGGAAAAGTTGTGGAGTATTTTTAAAAAAAACATGATCACAGATTTTTCATAGGAACCACTACTACTTATTGTGGTCTATGATCAAAATGAAGTTACACAAAACATATTTTATCTTTCAACTACCTGCAACAGCTAAAACTAAACACATCTTAATTAGGACCTAAAGGTTAACTATAAAAAAGTGAAACGTTTGATAAATCTCACTGATTCACAGTTTTCCATCTAATGACAATATATGATACAAAACGGTGAAACCAAAATCCTACCAAGAAATATGTTGACCTTCGAATAAAATCGCCATAACTAACTAGTCTTGAAACGAAGTAAGTAATTGTGTGAATAAGTTGGATTTTTAATAGCCACTGTACAACTGCAGTAGGTCATTCCCATCGATGAGCCTTGTACTATCCCTCTGTTATACTTGATATATGATTTTTAGTTAAAAGGTCAAAAATTAATTATTTACAACGTTGTATGCTTTCATGCTGAGTTGAACATGATGCTCTTTTGCTGGTGGTGGCTAACACTGGAATCTAACGGGCGCGTTTTCTTCTATTTTCGAGCCGTTAGCTTGATATATTTACATTGTTTCAAACCTTGGAGCATTATCTACTAGGCCACTGGATCACAACAACCAGCTCTCATACAACAGGTATCAGATTTTATGTCTTGACGTGTCATAAGAGACTAAGTATTTTAGTCCAATATAACCAATCAACAGGTAATTCAAAATAACTTCAAGAAACAACAGCTTAACATCCGTTACTTTTGTAACTTAATGGATGGTGCTACAGAATTTGAAACGAAGAGTATGGTGTTCGAGTCCCAATGGACGCACCATCACTTAATGATGTGTAGTTACTTCCAGCCAACATGTCTCAAATACGATGAAACTTGCATTCTGGATTCCACTGTTAGCTGCCATTAAGCATACAAGCTCACTATTAAAGTTCAAAAGGGAATTTTAATCTGTCTGATTATGAACTCACTATTAATGAATGATAACATTAAAAACTGGGAATGGAAATGGGGAAGAAGATTGTGTTTAAAGGGATAAGTAAGTTTAAAGTGAGAAAATAAAAGTTCTCTCCATACAAATGTAAAGATATGACAATGAGTGCATCAGATTAATTTTTATCGAAGAATCATAAAGTACTTATGAAGTTATAGATTCCACAGCAGGCCAGCTTAAAAATGGTGGCTGGGCTAGTTTTGGCACAACATAGGAAATGTGGCTCATTGGTTTAGTTGCCTTACTTCTAACCGAATGTTCATGGGCTGGAAACCCGCTCCATCTACTAAGGTTTAGGTCGCTAGGTTGTATTGTGGTGGTGTAATACAGGCAATGTTTGCCAACGGAATATTATTCTCACATATTCCCATAGTTCAATACTGCATTAACAACAGAATACTATGTATGTATGAACATTCTATTTTATGTCCTTTGGTGTAAACCGAAATCACAAGCTCAGTGATTGGTTAAAGAATATAAACTTTACATATATAAACAGTGGTTTGATCAGTGAAAAACATACTTTGGCTTCCGTGTCTTGCCTTCTATTGTTACAGTATTATTAGTCCTCAAACAATAAGTGTAGCTGATTGCTAATCACAAGAAAGTACCAAGAAGGACACACCAAGTGGAATAAGATGTTTAAAAAACAATTGAATACTAATGATAAAGTCAGAAGTAATGACGCAGTAATTAATATAATTAGTATATAGTCCTTAAGAAATACCGTCAGACAGGTAACTAACTAGTCAAGTGACTTAACAGATAATTTCTAAAAGTTTCATATATTAATTTCAAATAATATTCAATACTAGGCATTATAAGCCAAGCATTATGGAGCAAATGTTTAGTATCCATTTTTTTTATACTTTTTAGTAATAAGTTTCATGCAAATAAGGGTTGACATTTTCAATCACTTAGTGTGATCATTTAGACAATTCATTTGTTTAATATTCACATAGTGACTATTACGGTGGGTTTTTGTTTTTAAAAAAAAGCTTATACAGGTAAACAAAAAATCCGCTGATGAACAACAGGAATTACGTGAACAAGTTAAACTAATTGAACATTTACTGACAGTTAAGGATCAAGACATATCAATGATACAGTTCGAGTGTCGTCTTTATTCTGATAAATTAAAACAAATTCAAATAGAGAAAAGTCATCTTATAGAAAAAGGAAGATTCATAAGACAAAGATATCAAGTAATATAAATATGAAGTTATATGGTATTGTAGTTTAAAAAAATTTTTTTTATTTGTTCACGCTTACTTTTTAGTAGTTATATGAGATACCCATCGGTTTGAGACATTCATCTAAGTGATAGGAAAGATTAGATAAACTATTAAACGTATTAAAATAGTTTACATGGCAAATTGATTTCAGGAGTTTTAATTTAATTAATTAATTTTAATCCTTTACGTCCTTAATGCAACACAAGGCTTCAAGCTAGAGCTTCGAATTCTCGGTAGCAGTGGTGTTCATTTTTACGGGGTGGGGTTGCTTGCCTTATGCCCGAAGCTTTCCTCTTTACCAGTCTTATTACTGGCTTAGCGAGGTAACGGAGTGCGCCGATCGGGGCTCGAACCCCGAAGCATATGCATGGTTGACAAGCATCCTAACGCTGTCCCACCGACGCACAAATTGCAGGAATTCCATAGTTATAAAACTTTCTAAATAGTCAAAGCAAGCTTCATCACATGCACAGTACAAGTAGAAGACTATGAAGTCAAAGAAATTAAAGATGTCAAAAAGTTTATTTTTAATTTATTATTCAATTTCTTTCCTACTCCTGATCTTTTTAAGTTCACAAGGAAAAATAAGTGAATGAAAATTCACGTGTGTGAAATACTACTCAACTGCATAGTTTCACTTGGGTTCTAGCCTATTTTGTAATTTCTATGTGCGCCAACTAAAGAAAAGGATAACAGATCATCTCCAAGTGTTTTCAAAGAATGCAATAATCTTGACATATTAAGTTGAGCGAAATCAAATGAAATGAAACTGAAACCCCATCAGCGGCCTTGCCGAATACTTAGATTGACAGAGTGCTACTTAAGTAAACCCAGAGGCCGTTAATTCGGGCCCTGTAGTAAACCTGATTTCAACTTCAAGCCCATTCATCATTATATCACTTTAATGTATGTATTATATGTATACCAGCTATTTAAATAGATTTCGAGAATTCTATACGGTCTTCGGAAGCAAATATAATTTAAAAAACAGACTTTTGTTTTCAGTTGTAATTAAAGTTAACTTCATGAGTCACAAACAAGCTTGTCAGACTAAATTTTCTCCACTCAATAAGCATTCTGGGGAAGAGGGAAGCAACGAAGTGACTCGAATGATAATAATTTTGAAAAGCAATGAACACTTAATCTGACTGATGATAATTACCTCAAGATAAATTTAGTACAAAGATGACGACAGTAACTGGCAGAAAAATCCTATTAGCGAAGAGATTTAAAGTAGTGACCCGTAATTTAGCAATCAAACTATAACTGTGTGTGTTTGTGTGATTAATACTTTCATATCAATTTTATCATGTATAGAATAAAGCTAGACGAGCATGGGAACACTGTCAAACAGTTCGAGCACGTTTAAGTAGACGGCTTATACAAATACGTTATAACAGAGACTTACTGTCGAAACATTTAAGAAAACAGTATGAACAAATGAATCGTCTTAATAATCTCTTCTGGGAAACAGGATGGGCTTATGTACAAACACAAAATCGTTTACAGGATATTAACCAAAAGGAAAAAGAATATGTGGATAAGGAAGTTCAAACATTTGCATTTACAAATAAAACAAAACAGGTATGTTGTCTCCAAATGAAGACCTCACTGTGTTTCCGTGCATATTTTGCGAATGAAAGATTCCAACTTCATAACCCTTGACTTGGTATTAATTGTTTTACACATGCATGAAAAGTAGTGATTTTGTCCACTGAAAATTATTATCTGTGGTAATCACCTGACTACTTACAAGCCTAAATAGTAGCTGTTGTTGCAATGCTCAAAATTTAAGGTCAAACAAAGTGCAAAGTTGTTTGAAGAGGGCCATTCATTACGCATGCCGAGCCGTTGACTTCATCACTGACTAAAGGTAGCTGGTGCAGAGTCCAGGTAAACAAGAGTAAGGGGTGGTAAAACTAAAACATGGCATCAATACAAGAAGTCTTTAAATTTTGATTTGAGCCACTTAGGGAGGCGTGGAGTGCCTGGTTGAGGTTCTCGAGACATTAAGAAGTAATGGAAACTGTTAGTGACATTACTCAAATTAGTCCTCACTCTTTGCAATCTTCCTTATCCCATAAACTAATATTATCCCCTATATAATTATCCTTTAGCCTGAATATGTCCTCCCGATTACAGTTTCCTTACATTTCTATTTTTATATGTGGCAACTGGAACTCTTGAAAATTAATGTAAAGTTCGACGTTAAAATTTCACTCGTATGATTATGTGTCCTTTTCTCGCCCAGAGAAATGGATTTTGCCTGCATTTCAAGTTCAAGTACTGTATTTCATTTAAGACTGTACGAACAATAGAAATTTTTCAGTAAGTATTGCTTAAGAGATTATGATCCAGACACTACCATTATAAAGCTAAACAAAATGTCAGTATTTTCATTGAAAAAGAAAGATAATTCCATACCCGACAGACTTTTCGGACATATATAGCTATCAGATTAGATCAGTCTTAAGTTACAGGAAAATACATACTAGTAATTAATTCTTGGCTGGAAGATGTTAGAAAGCAAACAGACGGTTCTGCCAGAGTACCTATGTTATATTCATCGAAGATAAATTCCAGCTAACTAGAGTTGTCTACATAGTGCTAAATAGCTTAAAAGTTAAACAAATACTACTGTAAACCGTTCATCTTACTCACTGGACTTTGCCATTCCTTTGAGTTGCGAGTGGAACTTAGGGCTCCAGGTGTTAATTTTATAGAGTTGAGTTGTTAGCCTCATGCCCAAGTTCCCCTCTTATCCAGCCTACTGTTGGCTTGTAAACTAGAAGACGTTTGGCTGTACGTCAGCGGGCGTCGAATTCCGGACATGTGGGTGGTTGATGAGCGTTCTACCACCGAAACACCATCACTGAATTACATACTTTATTTAGCTTACCGCGACAAACTGAATGAAGAAGAACATAGAATTTGGGGAACTTATCTTTTTAGCTCCCTGAAATATTTATTCAGTTCAGACTGATAAGCTGAGTAAATGTATCGTTGACTCAGTGAAATACTTGTGCGAAGTCATTGCCGCAAAGTAATGCATGTATAGTGAAATTATTTTGTTTTTAGAAACTATTCAGTTTTCAGTAATACCAAATGTTGTAGTGAAAATGTGACATTGAATTTGCACATTTAATTTGTTTTATTTCATTGTCAAGCTGAAGATGACTACTGACCAGATAATACAAACCGAAGTCTCCCAGTTGGATAATGAACTCAAAGACGATACAATATTATCATCAGCCATAACATGGATTTCAAATGATTTGGACAATTTAACTGAAAAATTAGAAGAATTAATCAAATATCAAGGAACAGGTTAGTTTTGCTATGCAAAATACAGAAATAGATATGTGTATTTATAGGGTTGATCTTTGATAACAGTGGATAACTATGAACAAAACAGATGCAAAACAAAAGTTTCTCTGTGTAGGAATAAGTAATAAGTATAAAAGTCGTATAACAATGTCAGTGGAACAATAGTATGTATAAGCAATCAGTTATATGAATTAATGTGTACGAGTGAAAATATAAATGTTGGAATCGTGTTATCATACAACTAGAAATTAGCACAACGACTAGTGGGTTAAACTTGCCAACAGACTGTAGTAGTGTTAGTGAAAACTACATTTTTTATCATGAGGATATCCAGAAGCCACATCATATTAATATTTTAAGACTGAAAAGCTGGAAGATAGTGTTACTGATATCTCTCTCATGTTACTCTGGTTCTCAATAACTAACGGAGATCTTTAAATTAAGAATGGAGAAGACTGCGTTAAATGTCGCTTTTAAATAAATGTCAATCAGCGAAAGAGTTCTAATGAGAAGCCGTAACTGGTAACCACAATAAATAATAGTAATATGTGCGAGTGGTATTAGTTAGAAAACATAGGTTACTAAATTCTAAGCCGCTGGTCGAATACTTACTTTCTCACAAGGAAACCTGGTGGTTCATAGTACTTGTAACGGCAAAAGACAAGAGAACTGGTAAAGGACTTTTTTATTGGGGGAAAACACATATCTATACATTTTCAACCACATTAGAAGTTGGCTAGGTCAGCGAACAGTAAATTTTTCTCGTTGGTTGGTGACCGGCTAAAAATTGAAACAAAGAGTTATCCAATGACATTATTTCCTGACCACAACGTAAAGCGGATCTGGATTTGAGGAACAGATACTTTTACCTCTGCAGCCACTGACTTAAAACGTTGATTTCAATTTTGGCAGCTTCCTATCAATCTGCATCCTATAAATCTCATACTTAGCGCACGCCACACACCGTTTTCATTACGTTTATGTATGCACAGTTGGGAAGTCTCAAACTAGCACTACACAGCTTCTTAGTACTATTTCATTTTCAGTGATCCTTTAGATGACTTCTAATCCATGATAAAATACGTCAAGATGAATCAGTTTCTCGCAACTCCACTAAAATAAAATAATTTGAATATTCCATGATTTATTCAGAACAAGAATAATTAGAGCGAACATTTATTGTCAACAAGTTCTTCTTCAGGCTCTACAATTATAAATCCATTAATTTTAGCATACAATAGCCAGTGAAGGCAAATTAGAATCATATCAGAAAGTGTATTGTGGAACAAGCAGAAGATGGAACAATAATCAGTTGGTTTTGATTATCATTTAAAATACTAATGTTCAATTAGAACATGAGATAAAATCAAATAAAATAGCTCACTATATATTATATATTTTTAAGGTCAACAAAAGTACATTTTTCAAAGGTGAGTGTAGTCATTGATGTGTCCGACAATATGAATTCTACAGAGAAATAAGCCAACAAATGGGATAGGTTAGACCTAAACTCAAGGGTGACAAATTACACTGATAATAATGGTAAAATAATAACGACGGTGTGGTGTAAATATGAAAGTACTATTAGTGAGTGATTATCAGGGAATAGAGAATTTAATGAAGTGGAATGAACAGGATTGTGTAAATACAGGAACAAGCTTGAAAAGCATTGCGCAAACCTGGGATAATAAACCTAATAAGAAAGGTCATGAAGTCGTAAAGGGTTTGAAATAAACATTTGTCAGTGAAACCAAGGGAGAAAAATGGGACAGAGATTAAACATGCTAGTGTTAATCGAGGAATTGTTGACCTTATTATAGGCCACGGTAAAAAAAGAGGTTGAACATACCCCTTCTGTATAGGGAGACTAGCTCTTCTGGTAGTGACTGCTACCACTTTACCTACTGAACTCATAGATGCACACTGTATACTAAAATTACTGTATTTATAAATGTAAAGACTGAAGAAGAATTTATTGAAAACTATTGCTCTCTCGAATTATTGTTGCTGCATAATAAAATAACTTTGTCCAGCCTATAATTCATTATCTGGTTATAATTCTAAGACAACTAAATTCTACTTTCAGCTTAAAAACTTCCAAAAATCTTCCAGTAAACAGCAAGTGATAAAACGATATAATTATTATATTCCTCTTATAAAAAGATGTGAGAAAACTCATTATTGACTGAAGTAAAATATTACAAAGTTTTAAAGTAAATAATTGGCTTTACTCTGGATAGTTGGAAACAGTTGACAAGACACTAGATTCCGTTCTTACTGGAAATTCTTTTCAAAGTGCATTTAGAACGTGGAAGGAATTGATGTCCACCCCCAAAGATTCAAAATTAGTTTATTTACCATCACGAAAATCAGAATTTTTGTCAAGCTGACTAGCTGATAGATAAACAGTAGCTAGTGTCGTATCCACTAATGAAGTTCTTTACTTTATTCTATTGAATTACTAACAACATTTAATGGGCATCACTGTGACGTTCAGAAAAAAATGACAGTTTCTTGGTAAATAAAAATCTCATTAGCATCTAAAACACTCATTAACCAACTTCATTTGCTCTATAAAGAATTAAATGCTCATTATTCAGTAAATTACATTAGGCTATTGATGAATTCGTTGTACAAATGATTACCCATGGACAGAAGTGCACAAGAAACCTATTGGATCATATACTTAGTCAGTTTTTAGAGTAGATCTCAAATATAAAGAAAACTCAGTAACCAATATTTGGTTTCGCGGAGTCATTTCCTTCAAAGAAAAATTACTTTTGAAAGCTGAACAAAGAGTCACAGGATTCCTGTTGCTCGCCAGTCATTCAGACTATGTACGTTACAGCCGATGCTAGATACGTTTATTTGATATAACACAGAGAAATTAATTAATGACGTCCTGAGCACAATTTAATGTCCATAATCATATCACTGTGTTCACATTACTAACGAATTTATGATATATATATATATATATCACAGAAGATCCATAGAAAAAATAAGGGCATTAATGTAAATAATAAGGAATTCAAAGTCTTAGTAGTACTGCCATATAAAGAAGTAGCATCGGGAGCCATATATATATGATTGCATGGAGGATTTCATCATGAGCTGACATCAGTTAGAGAACCACTGGGAAACCTGGGAGTACTGGACAGCTGTCTCGTCCTAGTATGGGACTCTTCACAGTACACACCTACTGCGGTTCGAACCCAGGACATTCTGGTTACAAGGCGAGCTCGTAGACCATTGAGCCACTGAGACCCAATCCAATGGCCAGTCCATGAATTCTAACTTCTGCCAATTCACGACTTAGCGCGACCATTTATATATATTATATGTGACTCTTAATAAGGTTTGAATATGGATGGTATTTAAAACAAGCAACCAACTCGCTCAGAGACAAACTTTGCTTAAGGACCCATTAGATTTAATCGAAAAAGTTATATAATTTACCAAATACCATGTAATGAATGTAAGGTCCATTACATAGGTCACACTACTAGATCGGTGTCAATTAGATTATTGGAACATAGAAATCTAGCCAGGTTTAAAATGAGTAAGTCTGCTCAGTTAAATAATCTAGAAAAATAGCTTGGTCGTTACAAAGCACTCACTTACATGCAATCACACAATAGGGTGAGATAAGGTAAAAGTATAAGAAAGTGATATTATTAGGTGGAGAGAGAGAGATATTAATTACTGAATCTTTGTTTATCGAATCCTCACCAGACACATGTAATCAAAGTGACGCGACGCCTATACCGGATATATCGAAAATTATAATAAAAAACAAGGGAAAGAAAGGCTATATTGTGTGTCGGTGGCACAGTGGTTAGGACTCTCGCCGACCATGCACATGGTCCGGGGTTCGACCCCCTGCCGACGCACACCCGATATCTATGGTCGGCGTGCTAAATTTGGGCTACCGATATCCATGCTGAAAATTCCATACTCGTACTGAAAAACAATAAAATAAATGTATAAAGCAAGGTAGAAAGTTGTGTGAATAGATTGATATGTTTTTTAGCAATAAATTGTGTTCGGAATTTTATCCAGTTATATCAGTATGTGTTATATCAAATAAACTTACTTAATATGGGATTATATTCTACCATACTGCCCCAGATTTTCAGCTTACATTGGGTTCTTTAAGTGATAGCACTTTCAACCATTTGAATTGGTTGCAAATGTGTTTATTCACCGATTTAAACGGTTACAAGGCAATGGATAATGCTTTTTTATGCACAGCTAAAAGTTGTTGAGAATTAAATTTTCGACAAATAAGGAAAACTTTACAGTTTTGACTGTAAATATGATTGCGCCTGGCTTAATACATGATTTCACTAACTTTTATTCATTTCAATGAACACAAATGTGTAAATTGGGAGTATATATATGTTTCATTTATTTACAGAAAATTGTTACAATTTTGATCAGTACAATGAAAATCTACAGATTGGAATTGGTCAAAAAGTATCTTTAGTTTCCTTAATTTTGGGTTTAAAATGTAAAGTGAATTGGTTACGTAGATGCTGTAATCACTTAACGAATAACACCTGCGATCAGAATTTTGAGGTAAGCAGAAATCATCTACTGCTCCAACGAAATAGGCGACTTTTGAATGGTGTTTTATAAGTGGTGATATATATAATTCCATGGTCATTTAGATTACAAATTTTATCACTGAAATCCTTATTCATTCAACTCGTATCCACCTAAAAAATTTGCATTTACTATAATGATAAGAATAAAGTTTGGTTTAAAAATAAGTTTTCTTTATAGACCAACCCTTAGTTGTAGCTAAGCCTTTGAAGTGATGGCAGGCATAAGACAAGGCCGTCTGCTATCACCGATAGTATACCTAATTATGGTGGACTACATTACGCGTCAGACTGTGAGGAGCGAGCAAACGGGAATACGTTGCACCGATAAAAAAACTACAAGATCTGGACTTCATGAACGATTTATTTTCAGTGTCACGCAAACTCAAAGACTTTCAGGTGGAAACCAACAAACTGGCTGGGGAAGCAGCCGGTGAAGACAGGACTCCAGGTGAACGTAGAGAAGAAGATAACCAGCCAACAGCAACAAGCAGCAACCACTATCAACGGGGGAAATTTGAAAAAGGTCACTTCCATCACTTATCTAAGCAGCATCTTTTTAACTACACACGGCACAGATGATGATTCTGAAATCAGTGTGGAAATCAGCTGTTCTCAGCATAAAGAACGAAATTCGTACTTCCAACACCGCTGTTAAGTCAGTTCTTTCATAAGGTTCAGAAACATGGCTCAGGAGTCACAAAAAGCATTGTCAACAGGTGGCTGCAGACTTTTATCAATAGTTGTCTTTGCTGGCCCTATATTGGAGATCAAATGGCTAGAAAGAATTAGCAGCAAGAAACTCTGGGAAAGAACCAACCAAGAATCTGTCGTCCAACAAATATGCCGGAGAAAATAGAGACGGATCAGACACACGCTCAGGTGCCCATTGAGTGATATCGCGATCCAGGCACACAAGTAGTATCAGAATAGGAAACGACGATTTAGGCGTCCGATGGGGATATGCAGACTGTAAAAGGAAGAGACAAGAGCCTATGGGCAAAAATGGGGCCAGGTAAAGAAGAATACAGACAACAGGATGAAATGGAGATGTACTGTTGAAGCCCTCTGTTGCTGATTTGTGTGAATGAATATAATGTTGATCAGTAAACTACCTAGCTTATTATTAATTGATGACAATAGAAGACAAGTAAAAAGTTATATTTAGTCAATCAGTATTGCTCAGAAAGCGAATAAATATACTTAGCAATAAAATGTTACTTCGGGAATGTGAACTGATCAAAAGCTAAATGCATTTGATCTAGATTGTGTTTCTCAGATTTTATTTCTAAGGTGTACCTACAAATTTAAGAACACATATGCCCCAAGTAAAGTTCATACTAGCACTAGTTAACTCTAGTGCCAGAGATTTTAGATTGAGCATATCGGCTACTGCTAGGTGTTTTCGCGCATAGTATGACAAACGTCACAACAGATGTTCTAGCTGCGTTAAGTTGATAGAACACCTTCACACCGTCAAACGTAAAATCTGGTAAGATTACATCATTCCTCTAGGCCCATAATACAAAATCAACTGCCTGAGGAAATTCAAATCGTAATTGACCGCCTCCGTTCCACCTACACGAGTATATTGAAACAAATGTGCGGCAAGTTTGATTTACAATAGGCTATATCCTCACCCAATATAGAAGTGATGGAAGATTATGCATAAACCCTTCTGGGACTTAATGCATTACCTGACAACCTAGAAAGTTAATTAATTAATAATATTCTAGTTGAAGCGTCTTCTGAGTCGGAGCTGCAAGTCTAACAGATTGAATAAGATTTATATCTGTTCAGTGGATATCTAATAGCCTTTCGAATGAAAGTTTCAAATATTCAGTAACGGAGAGTATTAATTTCTACTTCAGTCACTTCATGATACATATTTTTATTTACGCTTAAAGGTATTCTGAATGTCCCAGTCAGTGTATTATTTTTAATTTTACTAACTGAATGACTGTGATCATTTTAGATTATGTAAAATACACATTCATTGCAGTACACATCTTCAATATGTTGTACAATTATTAGTGATATTCAGAAGTATGAATAACGATCTTCTTAAGATTCTAGCACAAATATTCGCGTAGACATTTGAAATCTTTGCTGAAAGTTCTAAAGTAAAACATGAGTGTAGGTATTTCAGTCAAAATGTGGCGAGTGTTACTGATAAGATTTATCAGTACCATATAAAGAGACGTTCATCGGCATAAACACATCAAATAGCAAGGAGATACATTTGATGTCAGAGAAGGCAAATGGTTCAGCGTTGTGGAGATAGATGGGAAATGTGAAAGGAACACAAAAAAAAACACAATATAAAGGCCAGAAGTAGCACAACACGAAGATCTGTGCAAATGGTGTGTTGAACACATAAGGTGTACATACTTTGGCTATATAGAAATACCAAATTCCTAATAAACATTCCTTTACTAGGTCTTCATCTGCTGCTGGTATTATAAGGTATTAAGAATGACTTCAATTGCATGACTATGAAATATGAGTTTTAAGAAAAAGTATAAAACAATTGGAAATTTTTAATAATCAACTGCATTGAATAGTACTCCGGACAATCAGTGATCGTTCTGTTTTTGTACAGTATGACGAAGAAATATTGAAAACTGTTAAACTCTTTTGAGGTAAGAAGACCTTCATAAGAACTTTGATCAAGATTTAACCGGTTATTTCCACAAAAACTGAACGCCGAGTGAAAAGTAGACATACGTAAGAAACAGTGTTTGTATAATTCTGAGAGAATTTGAAATAAATAATTCCAACGTTTCGTTCGGCAAACTGGTCAGAACTTCAGGAATAACAAAAGTATATATGGAAATAACAAAAGTATATATAAATATTCTCTTGGTCTTAGACTATTCAAACACGAATAAATAAACTAGTATTTAGATGAAGTAATCTCAACTTATCTTAATAGCTTTGCGAAAAGTCAGGTATACTTAGCCATATGTAATATAATGCAATCACTTAAAAAGCTACTCACGTTTTTACCTTATCTCTAGCAGTCAGACAAAAATGAATTAATTAAATTAGGAAATATTAAGAAGAATTTTGAAAATTCTACAAAAAACTTGAAATTATTACTTAGTCAAATGGAAACTGATGCACTAGAAGATGAATTATCGTGTGTTGGTTATCTTGCGCAAACAACAGCTAACCAGCTAAAGCTTAGTCACTTACGGTAAGATTTTAACAAATATCCAATATAAATAATGTTTTTCAGTACTTTTTAAACAATATGCATGTTTGATTTTCTGTTTAGCCACAGAAAATAAAATTCATCTATACAGTGTCACCCACAATACCTAACTCAAACTTGATTCACTCCAAAGCAAACCAAATGACACATAGCTGTCCCAGCATAAAACATAACCGTACGTGAATTCGGTACACAACGGGGACTAATTTACCATGCTGATTGGCAATTTTAACAGAAAGGACACACTACAATATCATAAGAGTAGTCCATGTATTAACAATGAAGATAAGTAGGATTACAAGCTATAAGAAGTTAGATAATAGAAGTTAGGCAGCTGGGCAGGATAGACTGCTGTATTCCTCGATTGTGTGGAGTTAAATGCATCTACTTGGTTACACTAATTTCAGTAGGTTAACTAGGTTTCAAGGTAGTTACGAGCTTGAACGAAACAGAGATAACCAGTAAACGGATCTTTCATGCTTTCTAAATTTCCTGGGCTTTCATATATTTAAGGATTGCATTCCTAGGCAAAATGTTTGATGATAGTAATAGTTAATGATTGGACTAAATCGAGAACCAGCCAAAGAAAAATCATAAGCTATTGGGTTACAGTCCAACATATTATTGAAGTAAGAACATAAGGCCATTACTTCACGGCTATGTAAAATATAGAGTGCTAAATGTCGAAAATTCTTAAAATTTCACTCATCACTCTACAATTTTTAAGTAGTCTCTCGTTGTCATAAATTCCGTGACCAAAACTCTTTATCCAGAACACAAACATCGTGTGCGAATTATAAATATTGATTATCAAGCTAATCATACTCGCACACTCTACTTCATAGTATTCGCAAAACTAGCCTGGACATCTTTTAAGCCGTTAGTTTTTAAGCAGAAACTAATAAGCTTTGAGTATCATACAGACTAAAAAAATTCCACCTTTCTGACTACTGACTAGTTTCAACATAGAACTTTGCACCAATGTACAGCAGTTCGAGTCGCCACACTTCACTCAGCTCACACAGCCAGAGAAGAAAGTAAAAAGAAACGCAAAACAGAGACAGTAAACAGAGATATGAGGCAAAAAGAATAGTAATATCGAAGAACAATATAGTTTCATTGGGTATTATAAGTTACAAGGAGCGTATTTTTTAAAAAGCTTTTAAAACGTTTTAAAGAAACTCATACATAAAAGATACCATTATACTTTTCAAGAAGTCTTTTCAAAACAACTTCTTGTTACGAGTCAATGGTAGATTAAATATTTAAGTTTGGATTATTAAGACAGGTAGACAATAATGAAATGTGCAACACAATCACACCAATAAATGAGTAAGCCAGAAACACCCATATGTATAAAAAAGACTTATCTATAACGAAGACTATTTCTAAAGTAAAAGCAATGGAAGTTATGATGTGATTTATATTTGTCAGCCTAAAATTGGAGTGTGATGAGAATCACTGGGACAAAATGGGTACCACAACTCCCCTTCCCTCAACTGCGTAAAGACATTCAATTATTGGTTTGTAAGGGACCCCGCGGTTCGGTGGGTGCGCACTTCTGGAGAATCCCAAAACTAGGACGAAACAGCTGTTCAGTGCTCCCACGTTTTACAATGGTTCTCTAACCGATGTCAGCTCATGATGAAATCCTGTAAGTAAGGACAACGGAATAGTGACTTTGTTGCTATTGTTTTCATCATGCCCTCGGGTCATGCATCAAAGGTCAAAGAGCACTTCTAAAACAGTAAACACCTTCATAGTCAAAAGACGCTATGAAATGAAACTTTATAAACCATAGTTTGGTTGTACTATATTTGGTCGATTATCCGGTCACATTATAAAAGGGGATATGATAAAATTACGTCAAACTTCTCGAAAACATGATCAAAGGCGACGCAAATTTAATCTTTGGAAATTCGCTTAAAAGTTAACACTACAAATATAAAAAATCACAGAACAATTCTCAAAAATTAATCAAAATAAAACTATAGCTTGAATTTTAACCGAGTTGTACGGATTAACCAAAATTGTTCGAAATACTCTTACAACATGTTCCCCTGACCATCTTCGTCAAAGCAAGGCTACACCATGATGTCGAGCCACCTAGCATGGTGGTCACATTGCAAACTTCACCGGGTTGACTGTCTATTGGATGACAGTCTAGAGGAGATGGCTAAACCCTGATTCCAAACCTCCAACGACTGGCGTATGAAGCTCACTGGAGCTCACCGGCAGACGTATGGACAAAGGGCTTGTTGGATTTCCTGGATGTCTGGCCCCATTCAAAAAGGCGTATGAACCGAACTCCGGTCACCGGCTGCCAATGGACAGTGGACTCCCTACTCCACTCCTACTGCCTTGTAGGTCACACTTGGTTGTGTAAAGGCTAGAGCTGCACTCTCAAACAAAAGGCCGAGCGATTCTGGGGACATCACTCGTACCAAATTCCCATGAAACTTCATGAACTCTCTTCATCAGATCGCCGCGCCTGGGCAGCGATGATTCGAGATGTTCATGAAGCCGGCTCATCCTTCCGTAGGAGATAGCCGAAGTAGAGTAAAGTAGAGTAAAACTTCACAGACACAATTCAGTATATACTAAACAATGACTGGACATATGACACTAGTTACTAACTAGTGTCCAATCAAAGAGAATAAACTACTAGTTGACACTATTTTAGCATAAATATCGAAAAGAAGTTTTTCCGTATTTTCTTTCTGTTTCAGGCTAGAAGAAAATCTGGATTCAATCAGAACCGATCTTATTCGCTTAAAGGCTGAGTGTCACTAAAAATCATCTGAAGAATATTGTCAGCTATTAAACAAAAGATTTGGTAACAAGAGAATTAATAAATAAATCGTTTTTGTATGTTACTACTACTTGTGATCTAAGTGTATTTAATGAGCAAAAATACTGAGTTTCATTGGATAGGTGAAAATCCACTTGATATCCAAATTTTCAATATTAGTATATTTCATTAAAGTACTTCCTTTATTCATGCATTTAAATTCACCAAAACACAAAATTAGTACCAGCTTTCCTTCCAGCACATTACATCATTTAACCCATTCGTCAAAGACAAACGTGAGTCTAGAGCATTGACAGTAATAAATTGTCAGGATTCTTTATAGAAATTGGAACAATAACAAGTGTAACCTGAGAATATTGGTTTCAAAACAACCCTATCTACGGGGAATATGAAGAAGTGAATATAGATACGAGTTTACTAGGTAAATATTATTGCTTAATGGTAACACAGATAAAAGATAGCAGTCTATTTTACCTATCTATCTCTTTCGGGAAGAAAAATGCAGCCTGCGATGGTCAGTTAAGTACATAATACTCACACGAACACATTTTACTAAATAATAAAAGACTGGTTGTTATAGTCTACAGGCACAATTGCATGCGCTATCATTGAAAATTGACACAAATTATGAAAGGAAGTCAGGAATAAAATAAGAACGTGTAGACCTTACAGTACACTAAAACCCACATACCTAACTTATACTTACAGATCTACAGTTAAATCGAAGAAGTTACCTAGGAGGGATATAAATTTCTCTCCTAAAAAACAACGTTCAACCAGAAATGTTGGCTCTTACTTTCCTGTCAGTAGCACAGAAGGACAAATCGGAAAACATACCATCTGAGGTACAAAAATGATATTTTCTTCACGTCCAACCGAAGCAGATTGTTTCCAGAACCAACTGCTAGACACCTTTTTTTCTTCCCCGAAGATTACAGCACTCGACTTGATACCACTCAGGAACTACTACTTTACCATAGTGATTCCCCTTCAGATTACTTAATTAGTCAAAAAACGTATACTACGTACGGTTGTGCGCAACCACTTCCCAGCGATTGCCTAAACGAAAGTCATGCGAGGTATAAAGCATAAAAAATAAAAAGGGGATGTCCGAGGTGGTTAACGGAATAATTTTTAGTGTGGCTCAGTATCTGGAATATCTCATCAAATTGGACAAGTGATATTTTACCAAATATCTATTCTTGAGACTTAGTTCAGGTTGCCTCACTCCCTTTGAGAACCAACAGATCTCAGGATACACGTACCGGGTAGTCATTACCCGTAGTCTATGCAGTTTACACAAAAATTAATAACTCATCTGACTTGTCTGTTTGCTGAAAAATAAACTGTTACACCCGTCTTCAAGATAACATTCAAAAATATCCCGTCTTACGAGGAAAACCTAACGAACTTCCGCGCAACCGGTTATGTACATCATTTACTAAGTGACTGAGGACAACATTTCAGTTTCCTGAACTTTGACTAATGAGACCACGATTTCTTCGATCACAAATGAATTCTACAAAGTCACAGGAGGCACTGCTGAGCATCTGCAAATGTTTAGTTCTCATAATGGGCCAGTTCCTCGTAGGTTTGATTAAATTCGTCGCTCGTAAAACCACCAATGGCTGAGTGGCATACGCTGAATGACTTGCTTTCCATTTAGAACTTTACTCAGAAATGCAGCAGTTCAACTCACTGACTTTATGAGTACAGAGAAAAAACTGCGAAGGAACTGAGGAACGGAAACAGACGGGAGAGAATAAGTAAACTGAGAATTTGATGGAATCATGTTCGTCCTCCCCCCTTTTACCAGCCCAATCCTACGTCAAGTAACATTGTCCTAGGAGGACAGTTTGACATGCATCCTAGGTACTACACTACTCATAGGCCGTCTTAACGTCCATACCTAAGACTACACACAGTCTCAATATAACTCAAGACACTATGCCACCTGCTACACAAATACCTGTAGTCAAAAACAGCTAGCTTTTTCACGTCTTCCAGTCTCAACAACTACGTTTCCCAGTCATAAAGAAAGACAAGACTAGCTACCGCGTAGTACACAAACCCTTTGCTCGTTAGCCAGACATCACGTCCACCGCAGAGATAACACAAGTGTGGGATGTTACACGAGCTCTTTTTATCCGCACTGAGATCTAGTTGGTAATCACCTCACTAGGAATGCTGCAACTTCCCAAATAGAAGTGGTCGATCCTTTCAATCACTTCCGTTCCAATCATCCTAATAAGAGTCGGTGTGGACCAGCCGCGCGGCATCATATCACATTTGAGGGGAAAAAATATCACGCCAGACTTTTGCTCATGGTGTCCAGAAGACTGCATCTTTCCAGTGTCTTCACCGAGAATGAACACTATACATTGACGCCAATGTCCCTGGGTAACAACGCAATCGTAAGGCAGCTGAATCCGACTAAGGTAGCAACCGTCGACACACCCTTGACGAAAGTAACGAAAATGGAGACATTGGGCATCCTTGACGGACATAACCAGAGATAAGGACTCCCAATAAGCTTTAACACAGCTGGGTTAGTACGGGTGCCCTGAGTAATTGAAGTTCTTGACACTTAACAACCAATCATTGCCACGTCACATCTCGGACAGCAAAGTCTAATGTCCCCGATATGCCCTTGCCCCAAAAACTGTCAAAGGGCAAAGACATGATCAGTAAACCTTGATCCGAGAACAGATCCTGCCTGGTTCTGACTGGCTTTTCACATTATTGACACTAGTTCTAGGTACTTTGTCAAACAATTCAACCCCTCTTTTACCATCACGGGAAGACTTTTCTCAATTCCCATACACCAGGTGAGTTGCTAACTCACACCAGTCCTGCAGGACTATTTCGGATTCCCACACATCACTTTTTTTTCTTAATTATCCTCTTCGGTGGTTCACTAAAACTACGAACCTCTGGAGCAACACCAAGTCTCATCAAAAAGTAACACGGAAACACAGGTTACTTCATAACTTAAAAAATCGACAAGTTACCACGCGCATCACCAATGATCAATTAACTGACACTGTGTTCAGCTAAGTACCCAGAAATGTCTATTTAGACTTCAGTCTGCATTGGGTATGTGAACGACCCTCACATTTTTGTAGCCAATACGGATATGATGTGAATCCGAACCTTGACAAAACCACTTGTTGTGGTGACTATCTCAACGAAAGGTAGTGGCATGAAACAGGATACAAATACATGATAGGTGCGAATACAAAGGTTCAGAATGAAGTTAACAGTCTAGATGAAGCCGCTCCTGATAATGCTCTAGTGTGAATAGTATCGTCGTGGTCTTTACATTCACTGATGCTGATTGTGGCCATTTTCCCATCTAGAGAATCATGATGTCAGGAGAATTAAATGGAAATTTACTTGAAAACGAAACCTAACTACTGCATATGCAAAACCAGCACAGTAAATGCAATGTATGTCTAATTATAGAAAAAGCAACCCAGTTGGTACTTGATGGTGATGCAAGTGACACACACTGACAAGATATCCCTGGACACGACCGTTTTTTTATAAAAGCCATAGTTCTCCTTGAAAATTTATTTTTCAAAAATTACTTGGCTTTCTTAGCCTTTAATTTCTTGGCATAGAACTCCAGTTCTTTTCCTTCCAAAATATATCCGTCTGCCCGTCCAACCTGACCAGGTCGTGAGGAAATGCAAGCTAAAATGGATAATAATTTTAACACAATAACTTACCTAGAAGTCGACCAGTTACAAACTCTTCTTTCAGAGCTTCTTCAACATTGGCCTGAGGTAGAGCCTGTCGAGCCTCATACTTTTTGAGGACCGATTTACTTCGCTTTTTTTGCAAAACGTCATCCTCCGGGTTTTCTTGAGTGACGGTATTGCCTTTTTTACCAACTATTTTTCGCCGTCCAAGCTCTTTCAAGTAGTGGGCCTCAAACCACTGTCTGAATGGTGCTCCATCAATCTGTACAATAGCGTTCTTCACAAGGGTTTTCGTTCGTACAAGTTCGTTGTTGGAGGCATTGTAGACTACATCTATGATTTTTGTCTTTCGTGAGATAGCCTGAGAAGGCCAACTGAAGTTTCCCTGATCCAAACGCATAGCTCGAAACTTGAAATTGCCTCCTCTTACGCGTACGGTATGCACTCGTTTAGGTCCAAGTTTTGTCATTGCAGCTGGACGACCCAACTCGAACTTCCTCTTCTTTCGATTGCGCTCTCTACGTGCTCCAGTCTTAGCCCTTTTGTGTATACGATCCCGAGCGATACCTGGGAAAACAAAAATGCAGAGATAAATAACGTCACCATATATCAGATGCAATAATGTTTATCAAGACTGCATTCGTTTCCACTGACATGCATGATATCTGGTTACTAAGCTCAACGATGATTAACAAAAGTGATTGCATCTTCCTGAACCGAGCTTCATAAGCTTAACTTTCGTAAGTCCATCGTATTAGTTACTTTAGGCGACTGCGGCTCTCAATGATGTAAAAGTAAAACACCTGTCTGAAATTGTCTACTCAAGATACTACGCTTGGTTTATTAGTGAGTTAGAATAGATAAGAAAAGCAGTTGAAGTTGGGTAGATTTTAGTGTACGAAGTAACGATTCTACCCAAATTAGTTGACTTATGAATATAAAAACCCAGTGAAGAGCATAAACTAGACGATATTCGTTGATTAACGTGCTGTACTGCCAACAAATTGACGTTCGACTCGAAACCCACAAAGTTCACCAGTTTCTAGGCAGGTGCAAACTACATGTGATTAGGCACTAGGCTGTGTTCTACGTACTGATTCGTACACTAAGTGCAGTAGTTTTACTTTGGAGTACTTGCGTCACAGTCACCGAGTTCTTACATTACTTAGAATGCTGCTTCCGACACTAATCTTAGGAAATCAACAATGGTATTTGATACGAAACCCCTGGTCCGTTTTCAATTTTCACTACCGTCCGACTGCCTTTTATTTATACCAGATGACTATATTTTCAATGCAGCTGTGTTACAATACAAAAAAACACAAACAGTACTCCAACACCACTAATTCTAGGTATTCAGTAAACAAGGCACGCCACGAAGTATCAATTTTGACTGAACAAACCTAGAAAAAAGGCTAACCATCAAAAGTCACCAATGGCATAATAATCGCCATAATGCTCATACCGATTCCCACGTGACCTCACAAACATTAGGTGAAGAATGGATGATGAGGAATGGTTTCGGAACATGTTAGAATTTTTATCAGCAAAACAATTACCGAGTCGTCATATAGAAGTAACATAGTACAGCGCAAATGAACGTCTACCTACTTAAAATATGACAACTTAATTCACATATTTCAGGAAACCAAATTCTACATATAACGAAAAGTTACACGCAGAAACCCACCCATGCTGCAGACAACCCAACGTTACCGCCAACTGATGTGCGTTGAGGCTCTGTCAATATAAACAATTCCCGTGTGAAATTTAAACACGGTTTCTGCAGCTGAATTATATTGCTGAGTAATTTCCATGTACGTTTCTGATAATAGAGTAAACAGTTCAATGAGCCAAAATGTATATTTTTGGCCACTACAGTTGCTAACAAATCACACCAAAGTTAATTTCACGTGGTAGGAGCACAAATACCAATTATCAAAAAATTTGGAAAAGTACATCCATTTTTAGCCATAGAAAGATAATGCAATGCTGAAACAAAAATTCAATGCTTCGGATACGTATTTGTAAAAGACCGCTACCTACTGTGTTAGCCTAACCCATATGAGAGGAAGCCTATATCTAATACTGGCTCTATATATTTGCCCGATCGTAGTTGAATATTTGACATAACTAGTCCTTGAGGAGAAGACGAAGAGCCTTCCATACCCCTTCTGTTAGCAAATTGATAGCAACATAACCCTTTTTCCTTAGCGACTGTATGGTTGGCACGTGCACAGCCTCACTAGTAACTGTTTTACTCATAAATTGGCTATTCGACACAGGATTACTGGATAGAAAGTGTTCTATGGCTGGAAATATATGTTTTAACGCTGTTAATATTCTTAGAAATATCAATTACCAGAGACTCACTACAGCAATATGTGTCCAGTTAAACGTACAAAGACGTATTGTTATAGCAACAGGTGATTTTCAGTCCATAGGCGGCTACAAACCGGAATAATAACGAACTGATCCGCATAAAGTGACAAGCGGAGCATTTGGGAGCTGAAAATTATCATCATATGAGTCAGTGAGATTATGAATGCAACCATCAGCATATTTTCATTATTTCTAAAATTAACATATATTATTTATTAATTTTTATTTTTTATTATAGCCTGACTCCACACAGTATTTTGGTACAAGTACGGAATTTTCAGCATGTTATATCGGTAGGCCGAATTTAGCAGGCCGATCTGTGATATCATGTCTGCTTCGGTCGGGAATCAACCCTGGACATTTGTATGGTCGACGAGCGTCCTAACCACTGCCACCGACGCACAGGAGTAGTGGTTGAGATATAACGGTGAAACTCCACAACTCACATCCAGGATGTGTGGCAGAAGAAATTAATGGGTATTTCACTAGGCAGTTGTAGGATTTATGGCCAGTAATATCTGCAGATATCGGCGTATTTGGAAACAAATGCTTTCACTGGATGTCACCTACTTTCACGAGCATCTCCCTGACCGAGAAAATACGCCCCACTCGTGACTGCATCGAGACCAACAACTTCCTCTTCTCATCAAATGTTAGGAGGAACTACTTCTCAGATATGCGTTTAATATCCAATTCAAATTCAACGAACAGTTCTACATACAGAAAGATGGTGTTGCTATAGGGTGAACTCTCCGTCCACTCCCAGCTGACTGTTTCACGCCAAGTCTCGAAAACAACATACTCGATCCTTTGATCAGTCAACTGAACCTATACAAGACATAAGTGAATGATGCGTTTCCAATTTGGGGTGAAAAATTTGACTCAAATTATCTGCTCAAAACCTTCAAAATGGCGCATTCACTAGTAAAATTCGCAACAGAACGTGAATCAGATATGCAATTTCCATTCCTGGATGTGTTACATACCAGAAGATGAGATGGTTCGCATATCAATATATCGTAAACCAACATGGACGGGACTACTTATCGACTTCCAGGGCTTCATTCCGCTGATACGGAAGCAAAACTAATACGCACGCCATGTCCAGTGACTTGAAAAGTCTGTTTGGAAGACACTATAGAGAATGAGTTAAATCCACTACGTGAACACCTATTAGAGAACGGGTATCCGCCAAGATTTAGTCACCTTAATTTTATGTCACAGTGTACCAACGATATAGTATACGTGAATGGGATAAAGATTTGTGTGGCTGGAGCACTATCCAAAATTCAGGTGAAAACAGTGCAACGAAACAGTGTAGACTTCGAAGCACTGTTAAAAAACAAAAGAACGAGGAAGAACGTAAGCACATACCGCAATTAACTCTAGTTCCAAACTTAGACAACTAACATCTGCTGTAGATGGTAACTTGACATACTGCGGCACAATGGAAGATTCATCAAGGATCTCCGTCCCTAAAATTATGAGGAAAGCTATACTCAGCAACTATCACTCCTCACACCATTTGGCAAAGACCTCAGCTAAAGTAATCTTGGCAAGAAATGTTTGGCGGAACCTACAACACGACGTGCAAAGTGGGTGAGAGAGTGTACAGCAGGCTGGAGGGCGAAAATAAGCAGATGCAAAATGTGACCCTCAGGATGGTTCTCGTTGCCGTGTACTCGTTTAGTTCATATTCACGTTCGCTCGGTAGGTTCTTCATCCTACTCAAACAAATTCACTTACCTATACGCATCGATGAATGACCCTGACGCACTTTTCGATTGTCACCGTGCATTTACTCAGTTACACAAAACTCTTATTTCTGTGGAGTTTCCAGCCTAAACGTTGTGGAACTTACTGTAATTATTTACCTTTCGAACACTGAATTTGTGTATATAGTCTTGCTGACAGTTAATGTCTATAACTGTCTGCTTGCCATTTTATGACTGTCCAACACTAACTAATATCTATAGTTGTATATATTGACGTATTTGCATGTATAAGTTGGCTCAAGTCAGTGAGTCATTTTTGTTAACTGTGTCTGACTGTGATACTACTGACAAGGTCATTTTTTATTGTTGTTGTCGCCGCCCTTCCTGTATTGAATTGTTTTCTCTTTGCTGGTGTTGTCCTGATTGCTTTATTCCTTGCTTTCCTGATTTTAAGGGGAGCAACCTACAATGTCGCTTCTCTGTATATTTTAATGTAACAGCCCTCTTCTCAGGCGTGAAGCTAGCAACCCCACCCTCTAAACAAAGTTGCTACAGAAACTTCAGCACGACGAATCTCCTTGCGCCAAAAGAAAAAGTCCTTGTGGGGAAATGGATCGTCCGCTCCATGTGCGAGATTAGCAAAGCTACTCAGATTGCAAACGAGATAAAAAGATACGGAATTCAAGTACTTGGAATATGTGGAAGCAGATGGAACGGAATAGGCTCACCATATTGTCAATGGGAGAGTCAGTGATCTACTCCGGTCACCCAGAAGACAACCGCATGCACACCGAGGGCGTGGCTACCATGATGTCACCAATGGTAACGAAGGCCCTGATGCAATAGGAGACGATCTCGACCGGGATAATAACCGACAGATTCAACTCCAAAGGAAGGAAAGTGTCAGTTATACAATGCTATGCACCCAAAAACAACGCAGATCTCGAGAAGAAGGAAGAGTTTTACAGACAACTACAGGCAACAATGGACAATACTCTAGTTGGTGACATTAAAATACTAATGGGAGACATGAACGCCAAACTGGGACCAGACAACACAGGAAGGGAACTAACCATGGGTAGGGAAGCACTCGGAGAGTTGGATGAAAACTGAGAACTCTTCCTAGACTTCTGTGCCTCCAATGAACAAGTGGTTGGCGGCAGCATGAGTGTCACCAGGCAGGCGAACCAAAAACCAAATTGACTTTATCTCAATCTCAGAGAAGTGAAGACGCAGCCTACTGGACATAAAAGTAAGAAGAGGAGCAGACGTTGGCTCAGACCACTACCTCGTACAAGGAATACTTCAAATCAAATTAAAAGCTTTCAAGGAAACAGGAGCTGCAGATAGACCACAAGCCAAGTTCGAGCAGAACTACTAGTAAGAATCAGCCCCCCGACGAGAACAGAAGTCCTGAAGGCAATCAAGATGCTAAAAGCAGGACCAGATGGAATCCCAGCAGAATCATTCAAAACGGACCCAGAGACAACAGCAGACTTGATGACACCACTACTGGAGAAGGTGTGGAAAGAAGGCAAAGTACCCGAGGATTGGAAGAAAAGATACTTATTCAAACTACCAAAGAAAGGAGACTTAAGTCAATGCAAAAACTGGCGCGGCATTATGCTCCTGTCCATTCCAAGGAAAATACTTAACCGCATCATCCTGGAGAGAATCAAACAAGCCCTGGATGAAAACTTCGACCGGAACAGGCTGGATTCAGGAGAAATAAGTCATATATTGATCAAATCGCCACATTATGGATCATCACTGAACAAAGCTTGGAGTGGCAGTCACCTTTCTATCTCAACTTCATCGACATTGAAAAAGCCTTCGACAGCGTCGATCGAGAGGTGATTTGGCAACTACTTCGCTACTACGGGGTGCCACCGACAATTATACATCTCATCCAACAGCTGTACGACAATGCTGCATGCCAAGTCATCCACAACGGGAAGCTTACGGAATCCTTCGAAGTGAGGACAGGAGTAAAACAAGCTGGCTGCCTACTATCGCCAATGATTTTCTTGATTGCAGTAGACTGGATAATGCGACAGTTAGTGGGCGACGGGGAAACAGGCATAAAACGGACACACACAAAAAACTTGGAGGATCTGGACTTCGCCGATGGTGACATATGTCTGATTTCCCACAAACTGGAAGATATGCAAGAGGATAGCAACAAGTTGGCAGAAGAAGCATCCAGAGAAGATAGGACTTCAGGTAAACATAGAGAAAACAGAGTTGATAAAGATTCCTGGGCAACACCACTAACAGCAACAACAACAGACAGCAATCGGCATAAATGGGAAGCATCGTTCCAATTACAGGCGGAACTGATGAGGATATCAAAGCAAGGATCCGGAAAGCAAGACAGGCTTTCATTACTCTCAAGTCTGTGTGAAGGTCAACAGCACTCAGCATGAAAATAGCATCCGGATTCTCAACTCCAATGTGAAGTCAGTGCTACTATACGGATCAGAGACTTGGCACGTCAAACTACAGACCTTCATCAACGACTGTCTTCGCTCAGTAATCAAGATCAGATGGCCGGCCAGCAACAGATCAGCAACAGAGATCTCTGGCAATGAGCGAACCAACCAGGAACCGATTGTGAAACAAATAGGGAGGAAGAAATGGAGATGGATTGGCTTGCCATACTCTGAG